ATGATTGACAGCTCTCACGAGCGAGGGCGGGTCTGTGTTGAAACGCGCCTGTTGTTGAAACAATCGCGGGAGGGACGTCCGACCGTGTGACGTCACACGGTCGAACGGGTCTGTGTTGAAACGCGCCTATCAATCAACAATCGCGGGAGGGGCGTCCGACCGTGTGACGTCACACGGTCGAACGGCTCGATTTGAGGCAGGGGAAAACATATAAGGAGATTAAAACAAAACCACTGGATGGATTTTTATCATTATATGATGGTTGTGTACAGGCACTGCCAACACACATTTCAGTACAATCACCTTGAAAAAGTGCATGTACCATTATATGACCCCTTTAAGGCCCTGTCCACACGGACACGGGTATTTTTATAACCGTGACTTTTTTTACGCGGTTCGGCCGTTCGTCCACACGGAAACGCACTGAAACCGAACATTTTTTAAGAAACCCCTGCCAGGGTGAGGATTTTCAGAAACGTCGGTTACAGTGTTGTCGTGTAGACAGTGAAACCGGGGTTTTTGCCTTGCGACGTCAGAGTGTGCGCCGGTATCCGCTGTTTTTGACATCAGATTTGCGCTTCTGATTGGCCAACGTGGCTTTACGGTTAAGGGCTATATCGCCGCCTGCTGGCGTGGCATGCTCTTGATCGCGCTTGATAGCGTGTTTTTGCGTTTTCATGTAGACGGAGAACGAGCATGTGTGGACGGGATTTTTTTTAAAAACGCTGTAGGAAAACTCCAGTTATAAAAATACCCGTGTCCGTGTGGACAAGGCCTAAGTGTAAAATACCGAACTTGTCCTTTAAGTTGTCTATACTTCCAGTATAATACAAAATGGACATAAATTGCACAAACTCTAAATGATCTAAAATCTAAATGAATTGGAATTAGATCAAAATCAAATCAAGATGTGACATCATGAAATATGAATTGATAACCACCCCAAAATTCTTAAAAATAAAACAACTTGCCTTACAAAACTATCATATGGCTTTAGATGATTTGGAATATAGCTCAAGAGTAATATTAACCACTTTTATTTAGCTTTTTATTAAGTTTGAAGCTCAACAGCACTTCACTTTCACTGCATGTAAACAATCCTCCTGGGTTTCACAGAAGAATTAAAAACATTCTTATTTTGAGTTCCTTTTAAAGCTTTGAACATTATGCAGATGTAATCAAAAGGTATTATTTTTCTATTGTTGCATCAAACATTCATTTTGTTTTAAACCTCTCTTGAGCATCTTCATCAGATAGACTGCGTTAAAGTAGACACTGCCAGGGGCTGTACACCTCCACCGGGGCTCGGGCACGTTACTAACTCCTGGTCCTTCAGCTGCTGTCTGCTGACTTCCGTAATCGCGTATGTATCTAAGAAACGCTCAAGCAGATTTATGCATTCAATTTGAACTTCTTAAATGGAGAATCCCACGTACCCTAGAGCAGTTTTCCTCTGGGCCGAGGCATTTGACTTTATCCGTACCTTTTATCTGTTGCTGAGAACTCCGAATCGGCATTGGGGAGTGATATGCGGTTAAGGAGAGAGAGAGAACGCGAGCATCAATCCCTAAAGTAATTATCTCAGCTCCTCCTCATTCCAAAAGGCTAAATATAAGTGAAGTTTTTAGCTCCCAGTGGCAGTCATGTTGCCTTTGATAAACGGTGCGACTATAAAATGTGGGTGAGAAAGCCAGTATGTGTGTTTTAGTGTATTCTGCGTTCACACAGCCTGGCTTGGAGTATAAATTCTCCTGCGCACAGTCCGTCTTTCTGCCATGAACAGTCGCTCGCACGCACACACAAAAGCAGATACAGATAGGCGCGCGAGTGTGGTTGTGCTAGATTGGAATTGTCAGAGGTGTCACATTAAATGTGCTATTATTAAGTCCAGGCTGAATTTTATGGCCTTGCAGGATCGTAAATTGGTTGGTCAGTCCTTTAAATTACGTATCCATCGAGCGATGTGTTCTATCCGCCCTCACTTTTCTCCTGCTTTACTTTCTCTTCCTCGCTCTCTCTCTTTCTCCCCTCCCTTTTACCACGTACAAATACAAGAGCTTGATCTTGACTCTTTGGCCCTGGTTGAAATGGATGGCATGAGTGTGACGGGACGAGAGGAGTGCGGGATGTTGAGAGTAGCTGACATCCGAGTTCACAGAGGCGTTAGAGGTCACTGTGGCCCCTGGCCAAAGCCATGACCCTCCTAAGGGAATAACAAGAGAGCCTGTCTCAGTATATCGATCAGGGGAAACTTTAACAGGAGCTCTAGTACCATTTAAAAGTTGAGAAGTCTAAAAATCGGGACATTTCTCAATGGCCTTTGAATGTTTTTGTTGAGGAAAAATCTGCACTTGCAGTTGTGCATCAGAAAATCAATGTACAATACAGAATTAAGTGATAGCATGGCACGCTTTACATCTTTTTTGGACATTACCTTTCACGTAGTGTGTAATATAGCTGTTTGAAACACTGCAGACCTTTTATATACACAAAGATCAAAGTGCACGACAAATGGAGTTATTCTCTCCCAAAAGAAAGAACTGATTCGGAACTGCCTTAAATGAGTCATCAGTAATTCCAGTCTTACTTCCTGCATGAACGTACAAAGTTTTGTAACAAATTTGCATAATGCCAGCCTATGGTCTTCATTGGCTGCCCACCAACAATGTCTACTTTGACCCTCCCTCGAACACTGTAGTTGTAGCTGAGGCCTTAAAAGAGTTTGGTTTGTGTTGTTGAAATGTTGAGAAGACTGTGTTTTCTTCACTGTGAAAGCAATTCCACTTTGCCTGCACTTTCAAAGGATGAGGATTTGTACTTGGGCTTAAATTGATATGGTAAAACTGGCAGCATCCTTACTGTTCATATCACTGTATATACAAGTACTGAAGAAGCCTCCGGAGCTGAAATTCAGATATGGTAATGGTCATTTAGTTTCCCACATGCGTTGTAACTGTGTTAGACCAGTCAAAACAGACTGGGCCATCTGACCAATCAGAGCAGAGTAGCCTTTCGGAAAGGAGGGGTTTAGAGACTGAATCCTTGATCGAACGGTTTCAGACACTGTGAGAGCAGACGTGATGCTGCAGTGTATATAATAAGTAAATGTACCTGCATTTTGAGCTTGGATGCATGTAAACCTATTGTAGGACACCTTCAAAGCATAATTAGGAACCTTTAAAATAGCATTATAGGGCACTTTAAGCGCTGTGCATTTGATTACAGCTCTCATCTGTATTTGATTCTTTGAAGCTCAAGGACTTTGAGATGAAGTGTCTTTTATAGCCTAATATTTGACTTAAACTGACCTTGTCCCTCATCTCTTGATTAGATGTATTGATGATGACACTTAATTAAAACACACTCTGGGTGAATGGGTTAAGCTGACAAGGGATGGATCAATAACACCGATCAGAGAAATTAAGATCTCAGGCTCTCAAAGGAGAGATAAAGACTGTGTTTAACAAATTAACATAAGAACTGAGGTGATAAACCAGTAAAAAAATCATTCAATTATAAGCACTTTTCTCTCCTTTGAGAACTGGCTAGCAGAGCGCAGTCAGTAAAAAGAGGGCTACTCACCATAAGACAAACATAAACAGACTTTCCTGATCCAGTTAAGGCACTTGATTATTGCACTTAACTAATAAACAATAATAATAAACATTTATTTGTATAGCACTTTTCATACATGGAATGCAACAAGTGCTTCACAAGCAAAATATACAATTTCCCACAATGTCAATAATAATTTGTTTAAAGGTGCTCTATGTAACTTTTCTACTAAAATGAATCCTTTTTTATTGCCTGTGTGTGAAGGGGTTGTAATCACACATTAAAATGATCCACTTGTCGAGTTTTGCTATTACCTCTGAAGGCCAGTATTCCTATTTCTATGTGAAGTCTCCGGGTCGGATTTACCGCGAAATCCAACGGATGTGACGTGCATGCGCGCTCCCGAGGCTCTCTCATTATATACAGTCTATTGTAGACTGTCAGGGAGTTACGTCCGGTTAAAGGCGCACGTTTTTCGGCTTATATCTCAGTCAATCTTTGATCAATATTCCCAAGACTCTAATCGTTCGTAGTGCTGGACGGGGCCTTTCGAACGAGCCCACCCCCGAGGTCCAACTCGCCCGGCTCCCCGAGTTATAGCCGTTCGAAATCGGGGGTCCCAGCGAACGGCGATCCGGTAGGGGGCATCCCCGAGGCCCGCCACTCTAGCGTTCGGGCAAGGGTTCCCCTGGGACCTCCTCCCCCGAATTTGAGCTCTCTGGGTCTTTGCGTTCCAGAGATACGAGCGATTTTCTTCTGAGATCGTGACGTCACCGGCGTCCGCAATTTTGCAGCGCGCCCGATTGTTTTCTGCTAATATCTCCGCGAAAACACCACCAAAAACTATGGAACTTATATGGTTCTTTTCAGCTCGACTAGATGGTCCCAACGAGCTCGGTGCTCGCTGAATCCGTCTAGTATTCGCCGAGATATTTGCGTAATAGACGGTATTGTCTATGAGTTCGAGCACGAGCGCTCTTGTAAAATTTGGTTGCAATCTGAAACATCACCACTAGAGGCCGGTAAAAGTTACATAGAGCACCTTTAATAAAAGGTTCACAGTGTAAAATAAAGAAGTTGGCAATACAGTTTGACCTCAATATCAATATAAAATTATAAAATAAAACAAAAAATGTATATATAAGAGAATGATGAGATTTATGGGTAAATCTAAAAAACCTTCTGCCCTTTCGCTTTTTTAATAATGGGAAATTTAAGATGCATGAAGGGGATGTGCTTTTTTATGTATCTTATGTGATTTATTTTTATACAAAATATTTTTATATAACTTATCATATGCATTTTTTTTCTCCCCTTAAACTAATTTATTATTCAGTCTTTAGACTTTTAAGCAGTTGTGGAATTATTTGGAATTAAAAATCTGTTTACTTTTTAGAAGTTACATGTCATATTTTAGTAAATGAAGAGCTGCTTTCTTTTTCCAGATGGCCACAGAGGTGTTGGAGGATCTTCTAGAGGAGGATGACGAGGTTGTGGAGGTGTGTGTTTTTAAAAAAAAATCTTTTTAAAATGGTATTAGTGTTGTTACTCATTTCACAAGTTAACCAATTATAAAGAGTTTGATTAATCTAATTAAAACACATCAAACTGAAATGATGAAATGTTAAATAAATGACTTATATCTTATAAGATATTTATTTCCAGTTGTTGTGGTGTGGTTGTGTATTATCAGGCCCATTCTACAGGCTCCAGCTGGTCGGGTATTTGACACCAGCATTTGATGCATTGCTCACTGTCTCAGACAGCTGGATTCTTAATTTATGGCGTTATATCCTGCTGAAATAGTAGTTTGTTTGTGTGAAAATGCTTTGGTCTTCACTTTACTTTATTAGCTAGAGAAATTACGAACACAATGCTAGGGTGGCTAAAACTGAGATACTTATACATTGCTATTTGATGGACCAGCACACACACACACGCACATAGCACATTTTTCTACCTCAACCCAATGCCACAAATTATGGTGATGCCACACAATACATTAAAAAGCATTATTAAACTCGAAGGCATTCAGATATTTTCTTCAGACTTGATTAAAAATAGCATATACAGTACAAACATCCTGATGTTGATGCATAATTAATGAGCCAAACTGAAGCCAAAAATAAATTATTAAACAAATGAATATGAAACTTACTGTAGTGTGTCTTTCAGAGATTAGATTTTTTTTTTATCACCTAGTCCTACTGGCTATATAAAAAAGGATAAGTCCTTTGATATGTCAGAATCGGGACTGGAACGTTAAATTCCTTTGATTGCCATCCCTATACTCTCTGAAGAGTCGGGACTGAGGTTTACCGGTCCACTCCCACACACACACACACACACGTATACACACACACCCACACACTCTTTCCCTCTAATAGATATCTGACAGATTGAGAGCGCTTACAGAGTGTTCTGAACATTCGGCTCAGGAGAGTCATAGAGTGTGAAACAGGAGGAGACAGAGAGAGTGGGAGTGAGAGATGTTTGAACTCTCTGTGGTGTGTTATTGAGACATCAGAGAAGGGTATAGAGTGTAACAGTAGGTGATAAAGTGAAGAGCACTTCAACACAGCACAACAAAAACATGCACACACACTCTTCCCCACAGCCCATTTGTGTCTGACTTCCCTTAGTTCAATGTTCTCATTTTTCAGGATACAAACAAAGCTGCCCGATTGTTTGTTTCTCCCTCTCTGTTTGCCGTAAAATAAGGTTATTTTAATCCTGCCTGAAATCAAATATTTATAGCACTGACAGAGTGCACGGGAAGTGCTTTAGGTTTGTTTTGTTAATTACAAGTGGCTGACTGACTGTCTCATGTTTTTGCAGTCTACTTTTAGATCTATTTACTGTAGGCAAGAGTGGGGTAATTTGTGCCAGATTTTACACAATTAATGCAAGAGGCCAGCACTTCCAAACCCTGATCCTGGAGTGACTCCAACACTGCTCAGTTAGAATCATTGGGGAATATAGGAATTATTTACATTTCAAATAAAAATATGAATACAAATGAGAAAGAAAAACAACATACTAATGTATAATCCCATTCCATTTATAATCCATGTGTAACACTTATATAGAATCCCAATCCCAGTTTGCTGCACATTATTCCCATTTTTTAAACCAGCCACAAAAAAGGTTTTAATAATCAGAATATGTTTATGTAGTGCAAAAATAGACAGCATTTTGTAATAGTAATAATATTTCTGCTAGTATTCCCTGCATTTGAAGGCAAAGCTTATACTATTATTTGAACCACAAGCACAGTTTACCCCAAAACATCTGACATGCTGCAAACTTTACGAATTTTGGGAAAAAATATTCTAAATTTGCAATTTATATATATATATATCTTCTCTTCCTTTCTCAGGTGTGGTATTTGTTGGGATGGCTGTTTTATTTGCAGCTGGATAAACAAGACCTGACAAACAACAGTGTGAACTTCAGAAAATCAGCCTGGACGTACCTTAGCAAGGCCAAAAAGGTAGAGCTCGCCTCGCACATATACACACGCTGCTCTTTTGGAAATGATGAGGCCATCTGATTTCATCATAGCATAGTTTTCATTCTCCCCCACATACAGTACACACACACACACACACACACACATTTTCTACCTGGCTGATTTCTCCACTCCTCCCTCGGTCCCTTCTCATTTTTTCCATCTGTCATAGCTCTCTCAGCATGCCGTCAGCTCTTTTTCTACTGTGAAATTTCTCGAACTCTGCTGGTGTCCGAGCGCTATAGAAATGGAAAATGAAAGCCAGAGTTTGAAATAAAATAAGAGAGGGAATAGCTTGCAGGGTGAGGTATGAAAATATGTATAGCTCTTTTGTTCTACCAACCCCTGTCTTTTTCTTCTTTTTCTTTTCTTTCTCCTCCGCATTTCCATCTCCTCCTCAGGCTTTTCACTGTAACTTGACTTTGGTTCTCTCTGAGGAAACCTTTGGTCACTGCATGTAGTCTTTTTTGTTTTTCTGTCTCTGCATCTCTCGTTTCTAATAGATTCATCGTCATCTGTCCTTCATTCCCTCTGATTCACCTTGTAGCCTCTCATTTTCTTCTGGAGAGGAAAAGACATGCCTTACTACGTCCTTGATGATCTAGTGAGCTGAATTGGGAAGGCCCGGCACACACCTGCTGTCTCACATATAGCTGTAGATCCATATGTCTCTCCTTGAGTCTCTGAAGTACTGACTTTCATTACTTAGTTATTGCAGAATGCACTATTGATGGGTAGTTATGGATAGCCAATAGGAAAGCAGGAGAAATGTATTTCAGTACTCTTATCGATCCTAATGGCTTTTCAAAGTCTCAGTCATGTAATCTTTCAAATTAAAACAGCCAGATGAGACGTAATACAAACTCTGACCCTGTCTCAGCACCTAACACTTCATGTAAAAATAGTAACCTAAAGTATATGTTTCATTTGTAGATATACAAATGGAGAAGGAAATCTGAAAAATATGTATTATGTATTTCCATATTTATTTATGTATTTCTTTGTCCTATGGGATAAGATGGCATGGTTTTTAATGCATGGTCTTTAATACTGTGGGTTTGTTTTAAAAATAAAATAAAATGTAGGTTATGTTTTATATCAACATTTGAAAGAAAAATATAATAATCCAATTAATAATGAGCCCATGCTATTTTATTTCAGAGTCGTTTAATAGTTTATCTCTCAGACCACTTAATCCTGAATTAGTTTATAAGGTCTTTGGAGTTTGTCTGCTGTTTAAATCTGTGAAGAAAAATCTGTTTGTGCTGCTCTATAAATTTTTTAAAAGGGAATTTGAGAGCAAAAATTGGCTCATGATCACAAAATATGTAAATAAGACCTGAAAGTCACACTCTTGGCTTTGGTTCAGACTTGTGAATATTTAATTACATTCGCTAACGTCTCAATTATTCATCTGCTCTTTAATCAGTGCCCCATATCGCCAAGCTTTTGTTAGCTGTGTCATTAATATGGCCGTAATAAAGCAAACAGTAATTATTTATTAATTAGCCTTTTAGAAGGTCATCTCTCTGCGCTATGAAATATACTGCCAGTTATGACTGAGCTAGACTAATGTTGCTAGTATAATGCTTAGTATTGACAGCAATAACCTTTCAACTTTTTAGTAATACAATTGCCTGAACTGTTGATTAAATCTGGTGATCATATAAATTTTCCATCCTTTGGGAATAACATATTTCAGTAGCATCATAGAGAGTCTTATTTTGTGCACCATTGCTTTACTAAACCTATTAAAACAGAAATACGTTTCCATCTTCGGTAGAACTCAAAAGAAGACATTTTGGGAAAAAAAAGTATTTGGTCCATGCAGTGGGTGTCAGAGGGGTCCAATGTTAGATTGAAGTTTGAACATTAACTTTTATTACAAAAGTAGTTGAAACATCTAAAAAATATATTTAAGGAACGTCAAAAAAACAGGTATATAAAATGTTGTCTTAAGCCCTATTCAGACAGAACTTGTTTTCCAAACGTAGTTTGAGTTACAATTCTAATCACCCAACGTCTGTGATTTCATGTACCAATTCGGACAGGACTAACACCTCTGTGTTCATTACAGAGGTGGGAGTGTGTGTTTTCTAGACGTGGGCATTTTTTAAGTTTATAGAAGTGGCTGTTTGTAATAAACCCACATAAGTGAGCATAGACATCTAGACAAGTATTACCTGCATGACACTATTATTAAAATCTTTAAATATTACATATTTTTTTAAAAGTCTTCACAGTTTCCGCGATTTGGCTCTATTTATTAATTTTGTACTTGGATTTTTTCGTCGGATTCTATCCATGTTGAAATGGATGCATGTGGAAGATTGGTGCGTAAACTGTAGCTCAGGTAGATCAAGAAACATGAGGAGAAGCTGTAGGATAACATAACATCAGAAATCACAGACATTCGCATTTGTACAGGATTAGAATTCTCAGAGGACTGTTGAGGAAAACAGTAGGTCATTTGCTCTGTAATTTTTACTGAGGTAGTGTGAGAAAAACACAGACATGGCAGATTCTGACGGGATTTTCTGAATTTCTCTAATGTCCCCCTGGAAAACTAGTCCCGTCCAATTAGGGCTTTATTCTGAAAGATATAGTTACGTTGTTAGCTGTTGCTCAAGTGTTGTGGATTTCAGCTCTATAAAGTATTTCCATCTATTTTTAAATCTTCAGTTTTATGCTTCTGCTTTAGTGATCATTAGCCAGTTGTGAAATTGATGGCTCTTGAGCTAATCTCTTGATTACAGTCTCGATTTTTCTCCTGAATCGATTGATTTCCCCTGCTCCTCTGATTTTAATTAGCTTGTGGCTACTCTGCCTGTAGCGGATTTGTTTTCTGTGTATGCGCTCATATTGCCGTTTTCTACCTTCACTCCACCCTTCCTCTCTTCCACTATCCGCTCGTTCTTCTGTCACACTCTATGACTTCAGGCAGGGTTCAGATTCCACTTTAGCCGCTATTCACCATTGATTTTCTGCCTTCTGCTCAATGTCCAGCTCTTTACACGTCCATCCCTTAGCACCCACCTCCCCTCCCCATCCATACCTCACTACCTCTCTTTTCTCTTTCTTTCTCTTGTGCCATTCCTCACTACCTCTCTTTAATCCCTCTATTCTTTTCTTTCTCTATTTCTTTCTCTTTTCTGTCTCTATGTACTATACCTGCAATTAACATCTGCCTCGCTGATTCAATCGCAAGTGGTCAGCCGAGATCTATTGCTGCTTATTCCTGGTGTTAAAGGATTAGCTCACCCAAAATTGAAAATTCTGTCTCCCTCATGTTGTTCTCATATTCCAGACCTTTTTTTATTTTGTATTTTGAGATAATTGTATGTTACTAATTAATATTTATGCAATATGAATACTACAGTTTTTTTTTTTTTTTTTTTAATTTTCTAAAATTAGTTTTCAATTAAAGCTGTATTTCATGTTAAAATTGAGACAAGGCCTTTAAAATCCAACTTTTGAAGGCAGATTAGTGTCATCTGGTGGGAGTAAAAAAAAAAAAAAGATTTTTAATGCCATAGTGTAACCACTAGATTACTATATACAGTAGCTCTATATAAAGATGCTTGTACATAAAAACGTACTTTTATTTAGATTCTCAATACGACTTTTTGTCAAGATTTAGATTTGTTTGAAATTGATTGATTTGAAGTATCAGTTTTTCCAATAATTTTACTACAGTCAAACCTGAACACAGAGAGATATTTTGTTACATGTAACATCAAAATGCATTTCTGATTACCCTCGAATGGGATTTAGTCAAATCACATCTTTATTCTTTAGTATTTTTCTCCCTCTTCCCATATGTCAGTACTTCTTATTTCTCTCCATCAGCTCTTTCTTCCTCTCTTCATCCCTCAGTACATCTCTTTTTATTCTTCATTACCATCCCTTGTCCTGTATTGATCTGGGCAGTATTGATTGAGCTTTGAGTGCATGACCACATTTCCAGCCATTAATAATCATACATATAATGATTTATCATGCTTACTATGCTATGATGCATAAATGGTCCAGCCTCTTGCTTTGTGAATAGACAGTCACACTTTATCGATCCTCGAGGGGAAATTACAGAAAGAAAAATTCGGAAGGTATTTCATCAGCTTTTGTTCTGTTTGGAAGTAATAGATCTTGTGTGTCACAATGTTACTTCAGCGTTAGTAAAGCATCTCGTTCAGCCATGGGTGCAAAATGACCCGTTTTGAGCATCTCATTGCTCTGTCTGTAACTTACCATTGCAGCTCTTGAAATCGCCTCTAGCAAGACCCATGAAAAACACTTTCACACCGTGACACCTTTAATGTGGCCTTGATAAACTAATATACACAGCTGAAATATTTTTGTGTTAATGTGCATAAGTGCGAGTGTTCACGCGCTTTTCACATTCCAATCAAACAAACTATGTCTCAGGTCTGCTATTTTTTTCCAGTAAATCTGAATGAATATAACATTCCTGGAAGAGACACAAGTATGTTTTTAGACATGAATGAGCCTTGTCCGGTGTCTTTATGCAGATTTTGTCTGTGATTTTGTGTGTATTTGTATGTTTTTCCACACATGTATTTTCTCAACTCTGTTTATATGTGCAGCAGCTGTGTTGATAATGCTTTGTGTCATTTCATTGAGTGCAGTAGAGATGAAGACATCTGATCCCACAGCTGTCTTTCACATACAGTACACCAGAGCATTTGAGAGCAGGCGATGTGAATCGTGTGTTTGATTGCATGTTTTAGATCAAAGCCAGCTATTAGGTGCTCTCACATTGTTTACAGGTTTTACAATGCAGGGGTCAAATGTCAGTATAAAAATATTCTAGTAAGTGCCACATCATTTTTCATTATGCAACACAGCACAAGCAGACGTTTCGGCCGTATGTATATACAAAGTAACTTTATGACATTCAGCTGCAAATCACTGTTTGTGTGAATATAGCTTAAATACAGTAAGTGTAGTGTATTAATGTGTCA